GCTGGTAGCAGCAACAGTATGTAAGTGGTGGTTTTTCCCCCTTCAGAAATATGAGTGTTATCTTCATCCATTCATTTCAGAAAATGTATTCTAAATATTGCCTTTAGTAAAGTCTTAGGATAGTGAATGCTGCTCCTTTCAGTACATGGGAAAATGTGTGGAATATTTGTAATTGACATTCTGAGGAGAAACAATTTACTTCCTTAAACCAAACAAACAAAAACTGAAGAAAGGGTTGCATCTTTTCTGCTTTGCACTGTCTGGCACAAACAATCTCTGCTGGCGGGAACTGTTTGTGGTACATTAATTCCAGTGTCTCAGTCCACAAAGACATGAAAAGAAGTTGGAGTCAGGTAGTAGGGCTGACTTTCCCACCCCACAAAAGTGATTTTAAAGATTTTAAGATGAAACAAAATTTCTGAAAGTTCTTCTCCTGTCCCTCCTGCCATTCTGGAAAGGAAAAGAAGAAGGGAGATAGAGACAGCACAGACAGTCTCAACCAGCAAATAATCCAATGGTTAGAGCATTTACTTGAGTACCTCAGGGACCAGTTCTTCATTTTCTCTTTACAGAAGTTACTTGAGGAGTTTGAAAACACATTTTTCAGCCTCACAGGAGCAGCCTGTGCCCACTGAGCTGTCAGCTGCTCTGGAGTGTGTTACTCGCATGTCCTGCTGCAACTCTGCCATATTATTTAGGAAAATACTCGTGGGTTGCGGAACTGATTCCCAGCACCTCTGTATTTAATTTTACCACTGTTTCCATGTATTTATCACCATGCCACAGCTAAATCTTAGACATATCACCATCAGTGTTTTTTTCCTAGCACTGTTTTGCTTTATGTAAGTCTGGGCAAGGCTGTGTAAGCCCGGGGGGATCAAAGAATCCTTATATGCCTGCATACATTTCCATTTTAAAAATGCCATTTACTGTGGCAGTTTTGTAGGATGTCTAAACAGTTGTCTTGAACTTTGTTGCCTTCTGTGATGCTTACATCTGTGATAGGTGCCATAACAGACTGTGTATGGAGCCCTGGCGTCAATGAATATTCAACCTGACAAAGATAGTCACTTGTCTTAGTGGACCCAGCCCCTGGACTGGGGCAGAATTAAAAACCCAGTAAGAGGCCGGAAGCTAGGTGCCACCGCACTGAGCATCAAGAGTACCTCCCTCACATGCAACCCTCAGCTAACACCATCAGGGCAAGGGTGTGGAAGAAGGGCTAGACCTGGTGGGTCACTGGAAGGAGGTGACATCTCACATGGGTTTCCAGTACTCAGCAACTGATTAGCAAGACAATGCAGCTGGTGTTTGTTCTTTTAGAAATCTGTTGGAAGTAACGTGAACACATGTGTTCTCCACAGAACAGTGTCAGCTGGTGTGCTCCACAGCCGTACACAGTGCAACATGACATCTCACAGCACTAAGGAAAGGGCTTTAGTATTCTGGGGCTCTTTCTTGCCACTTGCTGCAGAAGAATGTTATAACACTATGACAGTGTTTTATTTGTCCATATGTGTGCTCATAGCAGTGTGTGCCTGCTGAATATACAATTGGTAGAAGTAGAATGCAATTATCTGAAATTTTTAATATTGCAAGGATTTTGACCTGATTCAATTTTAGTTTAGGGCAAGTGGTAGGCCTGCTCTACTTTTTCTTTTCCATTGCCATACAAATTTACATTGGCAGTGGTTTAGATTTTCTACCCTGAAGATGTATGAAACTCTGAATACCTACATCTGAGAAATGAGAAATTGTATACATTTATATAACTATTGGATTTCACTCAGACATAACATCCTCCATTACATAGAGGGTAAAAAAAAGTTTACAATTACTTTTTTTTAATTATCCCCGAGAGTTTATAATTATTTTTTTCCCATTGTGCCTGGATAGAATTACGGAGAAATAATCCATAAAAGAATTTGTTCAATGCAAATAAAGAAGAGTTTATCAGTTTATTGTGATTTTCTCACAGATTTTTCTATAGGGTAGAATGCGACTCAGCTTTAGGAAATAAGCTTGCATGCATACCAGAAAAACAACTTTTGCATTTTGTTGCCTTGTGATAAAATTAACAGGGAACACTGACCTGCTTTGTCTCACTCCTCTCCATTTTGTTTTTTAAAACTGCCATGATGGACCATGACGGACCATGACAGTCATTTTTTGTATCGCCTTGCAAGTCTTAGAAAATATGTTCAAGAATACTCTTTATAATTCATGTCAAAATGTCTCAAGCTAATCATCAAATAATTAGAATATCCTAAATCACAATTTGCTTCTGGATATATGAATAGTAGCCTCTCCTTACTTTATATTACTTTCTAGTCATATTATTTTTGTCACCAGGAAGATATGGAAGAACTAGATCTTTCTATAAGTAAAATAACAATTGAATGAGAGTAGTTCATGTAAGTATAGTTTGGCAGTATCTGCCAGCTGAACCTTTACTTCTTCCATTGACTTCATTCAAACATTTTGGTCCGTATTTTCAGTGAGACTTTGCTTTTTTTTATTTTTCAAGACAGAAAATTTTCTTTCCATGTTAGTTACCATGCTTAAGTTTTGCATGTAACAGAAGAGTTAACATTAATGAACTTATTCTAAAGGACTTCTGGAGCACCTCTTATTATGAAGAACTTTCCATAATGGAACCTGTGTAATAGGATACTACATTCGACACGGTTTCCCATAACATCCTCCTAGGGAAGCTCAGGAAGTGTGGGCTGGATGAGTGGTCAGTGAGGTGGATTGAGAACTGGCTGAATGGCAGAGCTCAGAGGGTTGTCATCAGCGGCGCTGAGTCTAGTTGGAGACTGGTAACTAGTGGTGTCCCCCAGGGGTCAGTACTGGGCCCAGTCTTGTTTAACTTCTTCATCAATGACCTGGATGAAGAGTTAGAATGTACCCTCAGCAAGTTTTCTGATGACACAAAACTGGTAGGAGTGGTGGATACACCAGAAGGCTGTGCTGCCATTCACCGTGACCTGGACAGGCTGGAAAGTTGGGCAGAGAGGAACCTCATGAGGTTCAAGGGCAAATGCAGGGTCCTGCATCTGGGGAGGAACAACCCCATGCACCAGTACAGGCTTGGGGTGGACCTGCTGGAGAGCAGCTCTGTGGAGAGGGACCTGGGTGTCCTGGTGGATGACAGGTTAACCATGAGCCAGCAGTGTGCCCTGGCTGCCAAGAAGGCCAATGGCATTCTGAGGTGCATTAGGAGGAGTGTGGCCAGCAGGTCGAGGGAGGTTCTGGAGAGAGTCCAGCGGAGGGCTACGAGGATGAGGAGGGGACTGGAGCATCTCTCCTACGAGGAGAGGCTGAGGGAGCTGGGCTTGTTCAGCCTAAAGAAGAGAAGGCTGCGAGGGGACCTTATAAATGCTTACAAATATCTGCAGGGTGGGTGTCAGGAGGATGGGGCCAGACTCTTTTCAGTGGTGCCCAGCGACAGGACAAGGGGCAACGGGCACAAACTGAAGCATAGGAAGTTCCGTCTGAACATGAGGAAGAACTTCTTCCCACTGAGGATGACGGAGCACTGGAACAGGCTGCCCAGGGAGGTTGTGGAGTCTCCTTCTCTGCAGATGTTCAAGACCTGCCTGGACAAGGTCCTGTGCAGCCTGATGTAGGTGACCCTGCTTGGGCAGGGAGGTTGGACTGGATGACCCACAGAGGTCCCTTCCAACCCCTAACATTCTGTTATTCTTTGATTCAGTGAGAAAAAAAACAGAAATATAATTTTAAAACTATTCAAACTTTAGCGATCTGCATCACGACAGGGAAATGATATTGGCTTTGAGAACAGCTAGAGAGCATTCTCACTTAGGACTCAGGAATTTGGAACTCTAACTCTACCAGGGTTTGATGAGTTACCCTGGACAAAGAGCTTTCCTTTCATTAAGCCCTAGTTTCCCTTATCTGTAGACCACGGAGGACGATACCAACCTCTGTGTTAGATTGCTTCTAAGTCTACAGGTGTAACACACCTTAAGAGTTAACGTGATATAAACAGGAAAGGTCAATAGACTTTTGTAGTTACAATTGTGCTCTATTGTACTTTTTGAAGCTGTATTGGATTTGGTGAATACTGTTTTCCTCTACAAGAGTCAGTCCAAGTCCAGCACCATGCTGGATTCCCAGATCCCATCTGCTGCACTCCTTGATGAGGTATTACTAGGGAAAACAAAGATCACTTGGTAACATCCATGAATTTTTCTGGAAACACAGATACAAACCCAGATTGTGACCAGTGTGTTTTCTGTTCTAAAGTTTATTCAAAGTGCTTAATTGTCTTCTGCCCTCACTATGTACTAAAAAATATTTCAAAAGTCTAATCGAAATCTTTAAATTTGATTATGAAGACATAAGTACTAGTTCTTGTCATTCACATTTCATAATTATAGTTGCCTGATATTGCAAGAAACCACTATTTTTAATTTCTGGAAATCTACATTTACATAAAGGCAATAAATAGCAATTGAATTCTCTACAAATAGAATTGATTAATCACCCAGTAAAAGTTAAACGGAGGTGAACTTATTAACAAGAATTAGTTTGTTTTTCTTTATTTGCTATAAATCTCAGCAGGCCATGTAAGCTCTGTTCATGGCCATGTAGGTGTTAGTGAAGAGCAGTGTTAAAAAAGAACTAAATTATAAATTCCTCCCTTATATAGTGATTCATTTTGTGTATGACTCTAGCATGGTCTGACTCTTTTTTGACATAAAGACACTCCATTTTATGTTGTACAATACCTACATATTTCATAACTGAGTAGTCCTGCATTACAGTGTAACCTTAGTAGTTTGTAAACTTAAAAATTTTTAAATTTAGGTCTTGCACGGCTTGAGCAGTGGCTTGCCACTTGATCTAACCTGATTCAAATCAATAAAAATCTTTTGTTTGTCTGCAAGGGAGTTTGTATCAGCTTTCTCATTCCATACAGTTTTAACAAAAAAGAATGTGATTCTTTAATTCTGCAAGACTACCAGGAACGGAAGATAATCACAGAACCACAGAATGTTTGGGGTTGGAAGGGACCTCTGTGGGTCATCTAGTCCAACCTCCCTGCCCAAGCAGGGTCACCTACATCAGGCTGCACAGGACCTTGTCCAGGCAGGTCTTGAACATCTGCAGAGAAGGAGACTCCACAACCTCCCTGGGCAGCCTGTTCCAGTATTCCGTCACCCTCAGAGGGAAGAAGTTCTTCCTCATGTTCAGACGGAACTTCCTACGCTTCAGTTTGTGCCCGTTGCCCCTTGTCCTGTCGCTGGGCACCACTGAAAAGAGTCTGGCCCCATCCTCCTGACACCCACCCTGCAGATATTTGTAAGCATTTATAAGGTCCCCTCGTACCATTAGCTTTTTTGGCAACCAGGGCACAATGCTGGCTCATGGTCAACCTGTCGTCCACCAGGACACCCAGGTCCCTCTCCACAGAGCTGCTTTCCAGCAGTTCCGCCCCAAGCCTGTACTGGTGCACGGGGTTGTTCCTCCCCAGGTGCAGGACCCTGCACTTGCCCTTGTTTTTCTCATTAGTTCTGAAAGGCTTCTGACTGTTGCCTATCCTAGAGAATTTAGCTCTGTTTGCCCGACAGATGTAGTGCAGCAGCAGTAAAGGTCCTTGTATTATGCCATCATTAAAAAAACCAATACCTGGTTGCGTGACCCAAGAAGGTGACGAATCTGGGGAATATTGCTGATTCATATGAGAAGGAGATGTGGGAAGTACCCTTCTGCCTTTCTCTCCTATTCCTTTTACAATAGCAGCACAGATCATACATAGAAATTGCTTAGAACTATATCCTGTTGTGTAGTTTTGTGCAGGCGTGTATTAGTTACTTTTAAACTTATTTGCAGTCAGTACAGAAAATACAGAACTACAGCTGGTATAAATACACCTACTTTTAGTAATATGATGTGGAGAATACAATACCAGGCATGTCTGAGCATTTGCAGAGTGCAAGATGTCTTGTCTTTCCTTCCAAATGCAGTGATCTAAATCTGATTGAAGTCTCCGGAATTAATAACTAGTCTCTCTGATGTAACAAACATCATGTAATTCATCAAAGTCTGGTCTGTCTTTCTACAAGAACAGTGTTTGTATGGCAAAATTATCTTAAAAGAAATGTTTGTAATAGGGTTTTGAAATGAATCTTAGAGGTCATGCCCCAGTTGTTCATAGAATCAGAATCATAGAAGCATAGAAGCACAGAATCATAGAAGCATAGAATGGTTTGGGTTGTAAGGGACCTTAAACACCATCTAGTTCCAACCCCCCTGCCATGGGCAGAGACACCTTCCGCTAGACCAGGTTGCTCAAAGTCCCATCCAGCCCGGCCCTGAACACTGCCAGGGATGGGACATCCACAACTTCTTTGGGCAACCCATCCCAGGGCCTCACCAGCCTCACAGTAAAGAATTTCTTTCTTATATCTAATCTAAACCTACCCTCTTTCAGTTTAAAGCCATCACCCCTTGTCCCATCACTACATGCCCTTGTAAAAACTCCCTCTCCAGCTTTCTTGTAGGCTGCCTTCAGGTACTGGAAGGCTGCTATAAGGTCTCCCTGCAGCCTTCTCTTCTCCAGGCTGAACAAACCCAACTCTCTCAGCCTGTCCTCCTAGGAGAGGTGTTCCATCCCTCTGATCATTTTTGTGGCCCTCCTCTAGACCCACTCCAATAGGTCCATGTCTTTCCTGTACTGAGGGCTCCAGAGCTGGACACAGAGCTCCAGGTGTGGTCTCGCCAGAGCAGAGCAGAGCGGCAGAATCACCTCCCTCGCCCTGCTGGGTACGCTTCTTTCAATGCAGCCCAGGATACGAGCAAATGCACTTCATCAGGTCTCATGGGTGCACCTTCAGGTTCCTTTTATGGTCTTGAACCACTACAGTGGGCAGTTCCTCATTGTCCCAGTCCCTGCCTTTGCGTTCTGCAACATGGGTGGTGTGGCTGGAGCACTTGCCGTTGAAGACTGAGGCAAAAAAGTCCTTGAGTACCTCAGGCTTCTCCATATCCTGGGTATCCAAGTCCAAGTTTCCTTTCAGAGAGGACCCACAAGTTCCCTGTTCTTCCTTTTATCACTGATGTACCCATAGAAGCTTTTGTTGTTGCCCCTGATGTCCCTGGCCAGATTTAGTTCTGACAGGGCTTTAGCTTTCCTAACCTGATCCCTGGCTGCTGGGGCAATTTCTCTGTATTCCTCCCAGGCCACCTGTCCTTGCTTCCATCCTCTGTAGGCTTTCTTTTTGTGCTGGAGTTTGTCCAGGAGCTACTTGTTCATCCATACAGGCCTCCTGGCATTTTTCCCTGACTTTTTCTTTGTTGGGATGCATCACTCCTGTGCTTGGAGGAGGTGATCCTTGAATATAAAACCATCTTTCTTGGGCTCCTCTTCTCACCAGGGCTTTATCCCATGGCACTCTACTGAGCAGGTCCCTGAGGAGGCCGACGTCTTCACTCCCGAAGCGCTGGGTAGTAAGCTTGCTGTGTGCCCTCCTCGCTGCCCTAAGGATTTTGAAGTCCACCATTTCATGGTGACTGCAGCCAAGGCTGCCCTTGAGCTTGACATTCCCCACCAGCCCCTCCTTGCTGGTGAGAACTAGGTCCAGCATAGCACCTGTGCTCATGGGCTTCTCTGTCACTTGGAGAAGGAAGTTATCATCAATGCAGTGCAGGAATTTTCTGGATTGCTTATCCCCTGCTGTGTTTTCCCACCAACAGATATAGGGGTGGTTGAAGTCCCCGATGAGGACCAGGGATTATGAACATGAGGCTGCTCCTATCTGCCTATAGAGGGCCAATCAGGCTTCCTGGTCAGGTGGCCTGTAGCAGACCCCCGCTATAATGTCACCAGTCCCTGCCCTGCCTTTAATCCTGAGCCATCAGCTCTTGGTCTGCTCCTCATCCACCTCCAGGCAGAGCTCCATAGACTCCAGCTGTTCATTGACACAGCGGGCGACATCCCCTCCTCATCTCCCCAGTGTGTCCTTCCTAAAAAGCCTGTATCATTCCATTCCAACACTCCAATAATTGGAGCCATCCCACAACATCTCCGTGATGCCAATGAGATCATAGCCCTGCAGGTGTAGGCGCATGTCTTAACTCCTCTTGTTTATTCCCCACGCTGCGTGGGTTTGCACAGAAGCACTGATGCTGGTTCCCCAGTGAAGCTGACTTAGTGTCTGGAGTTCCTTTCTGCTGCACTTCAGGTATTCTCCTGCTGACCTGTGATCCTTCTCCAGGCTCTAGGCATCTACTGCTGGCACCAGCATCAAACTGGTAGCAGTGGTATGGACTGAGGTTCCCCTCCTCCGGCACCTGTAGCTTAAAGCCAGCTTGTTCTTGAATTCTTAACACTGAAATCATATCTCTGCCTGATAAAACCATAAAATTCCATCAAAAATAGTCAAACACATATCCAGTTTAAATCTGCCATATTCTATCAAGTGCTGTCACGAGTATACACCTTTAATGCTGTGTCAGCATCTCACTGACCTTGCAGGTATCTTTACATATCACTAGTCTTTTGCTGAATCTCTGCCATAGTTGAGCAACATCAGCAGATTCCGTTAAATCTCTTCCTGGACCAGTCACTAGAGGGAAGCAAAGACCTTCACGTGCCTATCCATGACGTCATTCAATGTCTTCATGTTCTCACTGGACAAAATCTGGTCAGTATTCAATCTAAAATTTTGAAAAAGGCCTATTTGGTGGAAAGCCACCCTTCGGAAGAAAAGACAGAACTATGTATCTGTATGGTTGACTTCCAGACGCCATTGTCATTAAGAAATAAAGTTATTTTCACGAATGATGTTTTGAGAATTTGAATCTAGACAAGAAGCTCAATGCAGAGTGGATAAAGAAGACAGGTTTAAGACTCTCAGTCTTTGAAGCTTCCCAATATACACAAAATGCATTGCAATGTTGGTAGAATAGAAGCTATGCACTAGCATCATTTATTTGTGGCAAAACCTAATGTAAAATGTACCAGTTTCTTGATATCTTTTTGTTCATCCTCCCTTAGTTATCCACGCTTCCATTCTATAGTGTTTTGTCTATGGTACTCAGAATCTCATCCTATATAAACAGTTCTTCTGGGTATACCAGGTAAACAGATCAAGAGAACATCAAGTCATTAAATGAGGACTAGATCATTGTGCTCTCTATTTCAGCACAGAGAAAGCTTAAAGTGCATATGAACTTATATTTATCTTCCAATTTGTGAGGGTGTCTCGTCCCACCTACAGGGGAAGGGAGAGCGACTAATGTTATATAAATCCCCTCAGGCTAAATTAAGGTGAAAAGACACGAAACGATCAATTAAAAGTTTTATTTATGATAGACGCAACTTGAACTTGGAAAGCGTAGAAAGCGTTGGCAATGTGGGTTCTTACTGGAAATATCTATAAGAGGAAAAGGAAAGAAAAGAGAAGAAAAGAGGAGAGAAAGATATCACCACCCTAGGATCCCACGATGATGATGATGGATGGGGTAATCCTCTGGTGGTAGACGTGTGCGTGGCTCTTTGCAGCTGTGTTTTTTATAGTCTCGTCTCTGCCCTCAGTTACGCCTCCTAAGGACTTATACGGTGCTTGTTCCAGAAAGTTCATGATCTTCTGGGTCTCTCTGGTGGCCATAAGCCCCTTCCTCAGTTGAACTCTATATGAGCTCTGGCCATAGTTGGTAAGGCACATCAGAACACAGAACTGCACATCCTCTGATATGCCCTCCCAGTCCTGAATTAACTAACTTCTCACTTGCAGTCTGTTGTTGCTGGGCAGACCACGATGTGTCTTATCACAATGTTTGTGACATGAACTCTTTCAGTCTCTCAGAGGGGGGTTATATGTGGGGTAGGTTTACCGTATACTGTGTTTTTACTATATTTAATTGAGCTCTGTTCTGCTTCCTGAGAGTGCAATTCAACTTACCATTCTCTCCTATGAGCTAGACTGGTTGAATTCCTTTAAAACAGAAACAGCAGAGGCCAACATTACATTTTCTGACATTTCATTAAAGGAATACACCTGGTAAGAATTGAATTTGCCATAAAATTGAAATGCCCAGAAATAGGGATAAAATATTAAAAATAATGTTTTGGGGTTTATCAGTTAAAAT